CTTCATTTAAGGCTTCAACAGATAGATTTTGGGAGGGAAACAATTCAGTACATGACAACATATAACTAATTATATTTTCATGAAACAATATTTACCTATTATCAATAATGATTTTATATTGTTTTATCTCTAAAAATATTAGCCCTGATTCACTGAATATATTTCACAGTTCCTTAATAAGCCAATATAGTTGCTTTATAATGTTACCTTGGCTAGGCTGAACTACTTTTCCCAGAATTCCCTTTCTGGTATGTTTCCCACTGAGGTGAACCAAAACAGAAAATCCTGTGCAGTATTTGGACGGCATGGGAGATGTAGCAGCCATTTTGTAGCTTACACATGCTATTGCTGATCTATTAGCCACCTCATTGGCATGAGACAGCATTAGGCCTATGACTGTTCCACCTAGATCTTCAGCTTCTCCAGTGTCTACACCAGGTATGGGTGATTACCCCTATGACTAAGGGCCCCAGCTTGTCCAAAACATCAGACTATCAAAGTCGGAGGCCATGAGAACTGACTCAGATTTTAGTAAATCCTCATGAGCTCCATTAATGGTTATGGGTTCTAGCTTGTTTTTGCTCTCTTCCATGTCACATCCATCTTCCTTTTCTTACTATCTGCCCTGTGGACTTAAAATATCTTCATCAAACTTGAAGACAACAACCTTAGACAGACTACTTAACCAGTTCTCACAACTGCATAAGGTCAAAGCCCTGTAATAAATCCCTTTAGGCATACACACTCTCCTAAAGGTTCTGTCTCTAATTAAACCCCACCTGAATCATAAATTCGTGCCAAATTGGGTCTTGTTTCTCGAATTGGACCTGGGTTTTCTGGATTAGATTCTGTAATATGCTTAGATTCTATTTAAGATGATTAATGACCCAGTTTCAGTGTAAAAGGGCACTGATAGCCCATAATACACAGTGACAATACAGTTACCCAAATCATTATATTTATTTATTTATTTTTTTAATTTTTGTTGTTAATCCTTACTGTAGGATATTTTTCCAATGACTTTTTTTAGACAGAGTAGCAGGGAGGGAGGGGGAAAGAGAGAGAAACATCTATGTGAGACAGATCGATTGACTGCCTCACACACCACCCCAACCAGGGCCGAGGACCAAACTTACAAACCAGGTATGTGCCCTTGATTGGGAATTGAACCCATGACCCTTTGGTCCCTGGGCCAATCCTCTAAGCCAAACCGGCCAGGGCACAGTCTCTGATGTCAGGAAAGCCTATTATACTGGGCCTGAATCTCGGTCAGTTACTATTTGAAATATTTCAAGACTATAAAAACAACTCAAATATTCATTGGTGATTATAGTTAAAATGCAGAAACATATACCTGACAAACAAAAAACTTTTATATAGAAACAAGGTATTATAAAGAGAGTTAAGAAAAAAAATTTTTTTTATGATAATAAGGTTTAGAAAAGCAGAAAGCTATCATTGAAAATACACTTTCATGGTTGTCAATATATGACTGCTAAGAATTCATTTCCCCCAACCATGGGAAAACTGGTAGTGAATAATGTGAGTTTTAAAGTTTGTAAATATGTGAGAAAGCATCCTTAGAGACTCATATATATTGCAATATGCACACAGGTTTGTTTAATGTCCTTTATTTGTTCAAGTAGTTGTAGGGCTACAAACCAATTGAGAAGTACAGAGTTCCCATATGCCCCTTCAACTTTAACCCCTCCAGCTTCCCCTATAATCAGGATCTTGCATTAGGTGGTACATTTGTCACAACTGATAAGCCAGTATTGACTCGTTACTACTAAAGTCCATAGTTTACATTAGTGTTTACCATTTTACATTCTCCTGACATATGAATGGCATGTATCCACCACTAGAGTATCTTAGCAAATAGTGTCACTGCCCTAAAAATCCTCTGCAATCACCTATTCATCCCTCACCACCCTACCCCCACTCCCCCCAAACCCTAGTAACCACAGCTCTTTTGGTCTCCAGTTTTGCCTTTATCAGAATGCATTGTTGTAAAGCCTTTTCTAATTAGCTTCTTTCATTCAGCATCTAAGGTTCTTCCCTGTCTTCTATTACTTCAAAGCTCATTTCTTTTTATTCCTCACCCCAGCACCACTTCCTATAACCTTGCTATAATTGTTTACTAGTGTCAGAAAGTTCTGTTGTTGGTTCTTTGACATTTTCTACATAGACAATCATGTTATCTGTGAGCAGTTGCCTTTCTTCTAAACCTGTGTATCTTTTACTTCCTTTGTTTTACAGCATTAGCTAGGACAAGATCTAAAAGGAGTGGTAATAGAGGCTCTCGTTGTGTCACTCTTTAACTTACTGAGAAGGCATCTAGTTTCTTACCATTAAGCACAATGTTACCTGTAGCTTTTCTGTAGATGTTCTCTACCAAGTTAAGGAAGTCCCCTGCATTCTTAGCTTTTTACAATGAGTAAGATTCTGTGAAATGCTTTTCTGCATCTATAAATATGATCATATGGTATTTCTTCTTTAGCTTGTTGATGTGGTGTCACACTGATTGATTATTGAATGCTGATCTAGCCTTGCATACCTAAAACAAATCCCACTTGGTCATGACATATAATTCTTTTATACATTGTTGGATTCAATTTGCTAATATTTTGTTCCTGATTTCTGCATCTATGTTCATGAGAGAAACTGGTCTGTAGTTTTCTTTTCTTTTTATATCTGCCTGGTTGTGCTGGCCTCACAGAATGAATTAGAAAGTGTTCCCTCTGCTTTTACTTTCTGAAAGAGACTGTAGAAAATTGGTATCATTTCTTTCTTTCTTAAATGCTATTAGAATTCACAAATGAACCCATCTGAGCCTGGTACTTTTTGTTTTGGATGATTAAGTATTGATTCAATTCCCTTAATAGATATGTCTATTCAGCTTTATCATTCTGTGAGTTTGGGCAGACTGTCTTTCAAGAAGGAATTGGTCCATTTTATCTAGGTTATCAAATTTGTAGGCATAGAGTAGTTCATTATATTCCTTTATAATCTGTTTCATGCCCATGGGGTTAAGGCCCTTCTTTCATTTCTGATATTAGCAATTTGTGTCTTCTCTTTTACTCAGTTAACTTAGCTGGAGCTTTAATAATTTTATTAACTTTCACAAAACCAGCTTTTGGTTTTGATTTTTCTTGATAGGTTTTCTGTTTTCAATTTCATGAATTTCCACCTCTGATGTTTATTATTTCTTTTGTTTTGCTTAATTTGTTATTTCTCTAGTTTCTCTGTGTAATCTTGGATCACTAGCCTGTATGATGTTAGATCCCCTGAGTAACTTGATCACGTAGTTGAGTACACGACCTGTACACTGCCAACAAAAGCCCTGCTCTCACTCTACTCTGCCACTGGTCCAGCCTCAACCCTCCTACTCATATAGTCAAAAGTCTCTAAGGGCCCAGATATCTATCTGAGTATATCAGACCCCTGAATTTACAGCCAAAATTACACCCATGAGGGTCGTCTAGTCTGTCTGTGGCTTCTTTCCTGGACCCTGTCTCAGAGGGCAGCTGATGACAGAGGGTTCAGACAAAATGTAGGCTGAAGGTGAGAGTATTCACGTATGTACACTGAAGGCACCCCACAGCTTGCAATGAACCAAATAAGAAGGGGTGATAAGACTAGAGCCTAGACCTCCCCATGCACAGAATACATTGTATTTAACATTGTTATTTTTATTCATAACTTCTTAAGTGGTTGACATTAGCTTTGTGGTCCTACTTTTAAACTATTGCTTCAGGTGCTACACACATGGGGAATGTTCCTGGTGTAGCTGCTACTAAATTAGGAATGCCTATTTCCTATTCACAATTATACCGAGTTTCATTATGCATATGAAACACATACAGTTTTTATAATGTACCACATATACATAAGTCATATTAACTTAAGGGATACTTCACATATGCATTTAATGCTGTTGCCCTGATTACTCAATTTATCTCTGCTTTTAAAAAGCTTCATATTCAATTGGTTGCCAGGATTTGGGATGCAAATGGCTATAATTGAAACAAAAGAACTACCCTGGCCGGTTCTGCTCAGCAGTTAGAGCGTCGGCCCACAGACTAAAGGATCACAGGTTCGATTCTGGTCAAGGGCATGTATCTGGGTTGCAGGTTCAATTACCAGCCCCAATCATGGTCATGAAAGAGGCAACCCATTGATGTGTCCCCTTCACATTGATGTTTCTGTCTCTCTCTCCCTCCCTCGGTCCCTTCCGGATTCTCTAAAAAGAAAATAGTTAATGAAAAAATGTCCTTGGGTGAAGATTAACTGAAAAAAAAAACAAGAGAACTTCTTATGGTGAAATCCTTATTCCTTTGTAAACCTGATGAAATACAGATTCCCTTTTGATTTTATAACTTGACTATGCTGGTGGTTATTCAAAGTGATAAAAATGTCATAGAACTACACATACAAACACACACCGTACATGGAAAAACTGGGGAAGCCTGGATATGATCTGTATCTGGCACAGAAGTATGGTACCACCAAACTTCTTGTACCTGAGAATCTGAAACATTAGAAGCAGCTTGGTGAAGGGTACATGAGAATTCTATGTACTAGTATTGCAACTTCTTGTGATGCTATTTTTCATTTTGCTAAATCTTTTTTTAAAAAGCTTTACATTGTATAATATACATCTATAAATTACAATGTTTTCTAAAGAAAATTATGACATCAAAACCAAAACACAATTATTAATGTTACATCTAAAGAAAATTTTCAAACTATATGTTTCAAATTGACAGATTGTCCCCAATATAAATTCTGGTATAACCTACTTTGAATTTTTGCTAAAACCTTTTATAAAATAAAATTAAAAAATTTAGAATTTACTCCAGTAACATTCAATGGAATGTTACTTCTTAACAAGACTGTCCTCTATTTGTTGCAGTCTATGGGTTTGTCCCATATCATTAGTTTGGAGTAAAATAAGGCCAGTTTGTGCATTAAGGTTACTGAGCTCAGAATGTTAAGAGAGCTTTCTCCAAAGGGTGAAGTCTCTGAAGTGTAGCGGATGCTGAATTGTGGCTCAACATTTCTAATATTCACTTCAATCATAAGATTTCCCTCTTCCTGTGTGTGTTTTCTGATGTACAATGAGGTTCGACTTCTGAGAGAAGTATTTTCCACATGTGTTACATTCATAGGGCTTCTCCCCTGTGTGTGATCTCTGATGTTTAGCAAGGTCTGACTTACGGTAAAAAATTTTCCCACATTCATTACATTGACAAGCTTTCTCTCCTGTGTGAGCCCTATGATGCACTGTGAGGGATGATTTGTGACTGAAGGATTTCCCACATTCATTACATTCATAGGGTTTCTCCCCTGTGTGTTTTCTCTGATGTAAAATAAGTCCTGACTTCACACAGAAAGATTTTCCACATTCATTACATTTATAGGGCTTTTCATCTGAATGAGTTCTCTGGTGTACAATTAGAGCTGACTTATGACAGAAAGCCTTTCCACATTCACTACATTCATAGGGTTTCTCCCCTATGTGGATTCTCCGGTGCTGAGTGAGCTGTGACTTCTGGCAGAAGGCTTTCCCACATTCACTACATTTATACGGTTTCTCCCCTGTATGTGTTCTATTATGTTTAGTTAGGTATGATTTATTGTAGAAAATTTTTCCACATTCATGACATTCATAGGGTTTCTCACCTGTATGTGTTCTGTGATGTTGAGAGAGGGTGGACTTATGGCTGAAGAATTTCCCACATTCGGGACATGCAAAGGGTTTCTCCCCTGTGTGAGTTCTCTGATGTACTGTGAGGTCAGATTTCAAGCAGAAGGTTTTTCCACATTTATAACATTCATAAGGTTTCAACCCTGTATGAATTATCTGATGCCTGGTGAGTACAGACTTGTGGTAGAAGGTTTTGCCACATGTGTTACATTCATAGGGTTTATCCCCTCTGTGAGTTCTCTGATGCTGTGTAAGATGTGACTTCTGACAGAAAGATTTCCCACACTCGAGGCATGCAAAGGGTTTCTCACCTGTATGAGTTCGCCGGTGAACTGTAAGATGTGAATTCATACAGAAGAACTTCCCACATTCGTTACATTCATAGGGTTTCAGCCCTGTGTGCGTTCTCTGATGTTTAGTAAGGTCTGACTTCTGGTAAAAAGTTTTTGCACACGCATTACATTGATAGGGTTTCTTCCCTGTATGTGTTCTCTGGTGTAATGTGAGGGCCGACTTGTGGCTGAAGGCTTTCTCACATTCACTGCATTCATAGGGTTTCTCCCCTGTGTGTGACCTCTGATGTTTAATAAGGTTTGACTTCTCCCAAAACTTTTTTCCACATTCATTACATTGAAAGCATTTCTGTCCTGTATGTACCCTCTGATGTCGAGTGAGGTGTGATTTCACCCAGAAAGCTTTCCCACATTCATTGCATTCGAAGTGTTTCTCTCCTTTATGAGTTTTCTGAAGTTGTGAGAGGTATAACTTCCTCCTGAAATTATTCCCATTTTCATTACATTCAAAATGTTTCATATATGATCCATGATTCTTCAAAAGGTTAGGATTCACACAAAATGATTTTTTCCCGCAAACACTAAATTCATAATGATTTTCCTTTGTCGGCATTATCTGATGTAATAAGAAGGCTGAGTTCTCATAGGATGTTCTTCCATATTCATTATATTCACAATCATTCCCATCTGTGATCTCTCTCTTCTGTGTATTAAATACTGCCTTTTCAAGAAAGGTTTCTTGATATATGTTAAATTCAAAATTTTGCTGCACAGTTTGAACTTTCTCATGTTGAATAGGGTCCTCATTATGACTGAAAGCTTTCCCATTTTTAAAAAATTCACTTTTCTCTCTAGTATGAGTTTTCTCATGTATAATATTGAGTACCAATTTTCCACAAGCATTAAATTCATCAGTCTTTTTTCCTAAATAGTTTTTCTTATTGATAATCAATCCTGAAATATAGTTGAAACTCATTCCACATGAGTCACACTGACAGAATATTTTTCTGGAAGTAAAAAAATTTGTATCCAAGTTAAATGGTTCCCGTATTACATGACTTCGTTCTTTAGTCAGCATTTTGTTATTCATAAACACAACTTCCCACACATGGTGAAACTGGTCTTCTTGGCTCCTCTCTTTCATGTAATCAGGTTTCCAGATGTCTAGAAATAAGAAAAATCAATCTTACGCATATAAATATTAACACATTTCTTATGAATGTGACCTATATACAAATGCTTTTGTTGTAGCTGACTTTGATGTCTTATCCAGTCTCCAGGGATGAAAATAATTGCAAGTGCTTTTTTTTTTTCTATTTTGGGTGTTTAGAGTAAAAAAAGGAAAAAAAAAATCTTGGCATAGTGGAAGAAGGGAGAGGAAACTAGCTATTAGAAAATGTACATTTAGTTTCCAGTGCCTGAAGAATAACAGCAAATGCTTGAATCTGAATTTCCCATGTAACCCCCAAAAGAGCTATAAGGATCTATATAAGGACAGCAATAAAATTACCTATAGTAACCCATGACTTTGGCATAACTAAGAGATACAGAATACTACTAAATGCAAGTCACCACTAAGTAAGAAAATACTCATATATAGAAGACACTGACATGGAGCCCAATCTGTGCAAAAAGTTAGCTGGAGACTAAGACAACCACATGTAAAAGAAGAGACAGAACTTAAATATAATTAAGTACAAATAAAATTACTCCCAAAAAGGAAAAGCTCCACCCACTGTCAGTGGGAAAATGCTGAAGTGATGTTTCAGTTCTGAGAGATGAGCTCAGACTACTGGGAAATCCAAATGAGGGTACAGGAACTAAGGAGGCAAGGGCTGAACAAAGTGAGGAATAAAACTGTAAAAACAACAAAATTATCTTAGAAAATAGAACTTAAATTACCAGGAGCTTATTTATTATTCTTTTAATCCTTACCTGAGGACATTTTTGCATTTATCTTCAGACAGAGCAGGAGGGAGAGGGAAACATCGACAGGCTGCCACCCACACGACCCCAACTGGGGCCGGGGACAAACTGCAACTGAGGTACATGCCCTTAACGGGAACCAAACCCAGGACACTCTGGTCCACAGGCCGACACTCTAACCACTGAGCCAAACCGGCCAGGGTGGCAAGGATTGTTACAAACAGAGTTATGTCCCTTCCAAATTCAGATATTGAAGCCCTAATCCCAGATGTGATGGTTTGAAGACAGGGCCTTTAAGGGGGCAATTAAAGTTAAAGAGGTCTTAAGTGTGGAGCCCTAATCCAACAGAAATGGTGTTCTTATAAGAAAAAGAAGAGACGCCAGAGCTTGCTTGCTCTGTACAGCAGTACAGAGGAAAAGCCATAGGTGAGGACACAGGGAGAAGGTGCTCCAGTCTGAAGGCTGAGGAGAAAAGCCTCACTAGAAACCAACCCTGCTGGCACCCTCATTTTGGACTTCCAGTCTCCAGAACTGTAAAAGAATAAATGTTCATTGTTTAAGCCACTGAGGCAGAAAAATTGCAGACAAATAGAAAATGCAAAGAGAAAACATGTGACTAAAATTTTAATAAATATCATTGAAAAAGAGGCATGAAAGCAGAAAAAAATAAAAACAAAAGACAAAAGAAAAATAGATCAAAAAGAAAGTTCTAGATAAAGAAAGTCTGAAAAAAAACTTTTTTATTTAAAATAAAAGTGTATGTATGTATGTATGACTGCAATCTCTAAAAAAGAAAAAACAAAAAATGAAATAAATCTAGTATTAAAAACAATAATCTAAGAAAACTGTCCAAAAATAAAGAAAGACCTGATCCACATATTCAAAAGGACCATCATGCACCTGGGAAAGCTGACTTGGAACAGTCTTCTCTAAGATATACCTTAATAAAACTCCTATACCTTTAAAATGAAGAAAAAGCCCTCTGGACAAAAAGACAAAGTCTCAACAAACAAAAATGTAGGTCAGTAATAGACTTTTGTCACTAATAAACAAAGCAAGAATCAGTGGAGTAACATTTTCATGAAAACAAAGTAAGAATCAAGTGTTTTATCTCCAGCCACATTACCCTTTAAGTATCAAAGCAATAGAAAAAGGCAAACCAGGTTAGATATTCAAGAACTCAGTACTACTATAATTATTAAACCTTTTATTTTTTTTTTTTCTGTGACAGGATCAGTTTATCCTGCCTTGGGAGGGTGGTACTGAGAGTGGCAGTGTCACCCTTTCCTAGGCAGAAGGAGAGCCCATAGGCCAGTGAAGGCCCGTGGCAGGAGAAGCAGGGGGCATGAGGCCCAGAGGCAGCTGTGGTACCCCAGGGCAGGTGCCCTGCTGCCCAGGGAGGAAAGCATGGGCTGGGACTGAGCTGTAGAGCCATGGACCCAGGCTACATCAACACCCTGGGAAGTGGGACCAAGGGGCACAGGACACAGAACATAGAACACAGGCACATGGCTAATAAGTAAGCATATGGGCAAGTGGGCACAGTCACAGGCCAGAGGGACACCCAGCCTCTGCTGAGCACATGGACACAATGGTGGTGCTACATTAACCCTTTTAGATAGAAGAAACTTCAAGCAACGAAGATTTGATAGGAAACACTGGCAAAAAAAAATAGTACTAAACACATTTAATTGTAGATATAGATCTAAGACCAAAACAAAAATGAGAACAGGATAGAAAATAATATATAAATGTTAAGTGGTCTATTGAAGCAAAAATAATGCAACTAAAATAAAAGGTTTAGGAAAGAGGAGGAAAAAAGGAGGAAATAAGATTAACTTCAAAGATAGCCACATAAATAATAGAGTCTAAAGGTTGTCACTAAAACTGGAATAATTAAATAGAGGTTTAAGGAAGAAAATCAGCAACTAAGGCAAGTATAAGAGAAGTCAATGTAAAAGTAACTACTGGAACAAAAATGCCAAAATTTCCTAACTGTCTACCTCTAAAAAGGACAAAGAAAAGACACCAAATAGAAATATTCAGTAAACATGATATACTCACTAAATGTAACAATATGACATAATAGAGACTAAACAAATGAGTCATATCAATAAATGTGAATGGGCTTAACTCACCAATTACAACAAAGTAATTTTCACAGACAAAATCCAAATCTCTGCTGCAAAGGATAAACAGATATTAAAGAAAATGGTTCAAAAAGGCTAAAACAAAGGGAAAGAACATATTATTCCAGACAAATAAAAGCAGGGATACAATCTAGATATAAGAAAGGATAAAGAAACACTTTAAAAATGCTAAAATCCATAACTCTGAATAGATGAGTAACAGTTATGAGTGTCTAGAGATCAAACAATATTCATGAAGCAGAACTCAGGAAAGCAAGAAAAAATAAAAACACATTAATAAGAAAAAAATTTCAAGGCATAGCAAAGCAAAAAGTTATGGATAGAAAAACAAATATAATAATAAGAGATGTATTATTAATCCATATCTAATTTTAAATATCAAAATTTATAATAAAAATATACTTGTATTTCAAGTGTATATGAAACATTAACAAAAACTGACATAGATAACATACTCAGATAATAATCAGTAAAACTAGAAATTAATAAGAATGAGGTTCCCACTGGACCTACAAACAATTCTCTAGTTATCAGCTCTCTAGTGAAAGGGGAAACATAAAACAAACCTGAAGAAGTTCCAAAATTTAAAAAAACTAACAAGAGGAGGAGAAAATGGCGGCAGAGTCAATGGAAGCTACACAGACCATTTCCCAGGACCAAATTGGAATTACAACAAAAATAAACACAAATCGTCAGGAAGGGGCAACCGAAAGGCAGCTTGGAGGACCACATAACCAAGGACACTGACTCAATCCTGGTAGGCTTGCGAGGACACGGCCTGAGCTGGGACAAGCGGACTCGGCTGGATTCATGAGTCACATTTAAGTCCTTTATCCATTTTGACTTTATTCTTGTGTATGGTCTACTTTCATTTTTTTGCATGTAGCTGTCCAATTTTCCCAACACTATTTATTAAAGAGGCTGTCGTTACTCCATTGTATGCTCTTGCCACTTTTGTCAAACATTAATTGAGCATATTGCCTTGGGTCCATTTCTGGGTTCTCTGTTCTGTTCCACTGATCTAGATGCCTGTTCTTGTGCTAGTACCAGGCTGTTTTGATTACAGTGGCTTTGTAGTATAACCTGAAATCTGGTAATGTGATCCCTCCAACTTTGTTCTTCTTTTTCAAGATTGCTGTGACTATTCGACGTGTTTTTTTAGTTCCATATGAACTTTTAAAGTATTTGTTCTAGTTCTACGAAGTATGTCATTAGTATTTTGATGGGGATTGCATTGAATCTATAGATTGCTTTGAGTAGTATGGACATTTTAATGATGTTGATTCTTCCAATCCATGAACAAGATATGTGCTTCCACGTTTTTATATCTTCCTCTATTTCTTTTTTCAATGACATGTAGGTTTCTGGGAATAGGTCGTTTATTTCTTTGGTTAATTTTATTCCTAGGTATCTTAATTTTTTTTGCCACAATGGTAAATGGAATTATTTTCTTAGTTTCTCTTTCTGTGAGTCCATCATTAGTGTATACAAATGCCATCGATTTCTTGACGTTAATTTTGTATCCTGCTACTTTGCCAAATTCATTTACTAAGTATAGTAGATTTTTGATGGAGTCTTTGGGGTTTTCTACATATAGTATCATGTCATCTGTGAATAATGACAGTTTCACTTCCTCCTTTCCAATTTGGATCCCTTTTATTTTTTCTTCCTGTCTGATTGCTGTGGCTAAGACTTCCAGTACTATGTTAAATAAGAGTGGCAAAAGTGGGCATCCCTGTCTTGTTCCTGTTCTAAAGGGAAATACTTTCAGTTTTTGCCCATTGAGTATAATGTTGGCTGTAGATCTTTCAAATATGACCTTTATTATGTCGAGATATGATCCCTGTATTCCCACATTGCTCAGCATTTTTATCAGAAATGAATTCTGGATTTTGTCGAATGCTTTTTCAGCATCTATTGATATGATCGTGTGGTTTTTATTCTTCATTCTATTTATGAGGTGTAAAACATTTATTTATTTTCAAATATTGTACCAGCTTTACATCCCTGGGATGACTCCCACTTGGTCATGGTGAATAATTTTTTTTGATGTATTGCTGGATCCAACTTGTTAGTATTTTGTTCAGG